TAATAATAATAATAATAATAATAATAATAATAATAATAATAATAATAATAATAATAATAATAATAATAATAATCATCTACACCATTCTCCTCCGGTTCGGAAGGCTTCGCCATCGAAGCCGATGCGCTCTCGTGGCCGGCGTGTGGTGTCGAACTCATGGTAGGAAACACCTGTAGTTTCCCCCGGTCGAACACGAAGGATGAATGTCATCCAACAAGCCCGATAGGAAACATAAGCTTGAGCAAGTGTTGTACAACTGCAAAAGGTACATGTACACGTCTCCCTACGCATAACCCACACAGCGGAATTAACACCAAACATGCCACATCGTTCACTGTGCTCAAATCCATAACTACAGCCAAGCATCCTGTTGTTGGAAAACTTCGCGATAGACAATCGGAAAATGGCCCACCAATTATTGACCCTCGACTTCGACTCCCAAAAACCATCTTTGGCCAAGATACTCCGAAAATCAGCTCTGAACAATGGCTTCCCATTCGAAGGCTCAACCTCTGCGACATCCCATGCGGGACCCATATTGTCGCATGAAAATATCTCCATCACCGGTGGCTCCTCATCGAAAATAGGCGGACCGTCGTACAATAGTCTGTCATCTTTCTCAAAAGCCACACCTTGTTTCCGCACATCTTGGTCGTCATGCGCAACAACGAGCTCAGTCTCGACGAGCGGGGTGGATACTCTCCGAAGGGATCAACCTCAGAGATGGTCTTCTTGTCGTCTGCATCACCGGACGGCGGTTGTGGAGATCGCCGACGGGGCGCCCCGCCTGGACCACGACCCCCACTTCCTCCGTGAACTCCCTCGCGCGCACCCCGGTCGCCGGCGGCACGGTTTATCTGCAAATCCCAGACCACGTTGTTAAGTGTCAAACATAAATCCTCGATCCCCGTCGAAAGATCGGCAAACAAATTCGTGAAACGCACGCCCAACTCTTCAAATCGGTAGTCAGTCTGTTGAAATCGATCGTAGAAGATTGCATCACGTTGTTTGTTTGCGGCATCTTGTCGTCCTGGCAACATCGCGAATTGTACTGACTGCTGATACCAACTGATGTAGCGCAATGTAACGAAAAGGAACAAGAGATAAAATCTCAAGCAGATATTTTTTTATTTCATCCAGTCTGCTCGTTCAAGTCACAACCAAGAGAATAAATAGACTCCTAATCCTACTAAATACCTAACTTGCTAAACAAGTCATTATTCCTAATAATATAATTAATTTCCTACAACTTAATAAAAGAAATAAGATAATAATAAAAATACTCATGCAACTAATTAATTAAACATTTAAACTAAAGTCGAGATTCGATTGTATTTCTTTAAGAAAGCTATTGCGAACTCGTCTTCATCATCCTCCCCCGTTTGAGGAGGATTCGCCTTCGAATCCGTAACGAACTCGTCGTCATCAATTATCTTATAGAATTTTATTATTATTATTATATTATAACTTAAAATTTATTATGTTATATAACCTAATTATCTCTAACAGAATACTAATAAGTGATGCTATTAAAAATTGTAGTCCTCGTTTTTTTTTTAAAATCTGCTCATTTCAACTCGGTAATAAATTTTAAAATACAAAATAATATTCTTTGTTAAATTATAAATTCATAAATACCAATTTAAATAAAAAATTGAACGGAAAAAGTCAGATTTTATTAGAACAATTCATTGAGACCGATTAATTTAGTATGATTAGAGCGATTTTTATGACAAGATTGTTTGGAGGATTATATGATTTGTGTGAACATTAGAAGGAAAAACATTCAATCTCATGTTTAATTTTAGTATTAATGAAAATTTCTTGCCGACTTTCATTCTCTAGTGGACTTGTATTTAATCAAATCAATTTTATCCCGCTCGAGATCATGATGTTAGTGCCATAGCTAAGTTCAATTTCAATGCAACAATAAACCATTAATTAGTAAGCCTCAAGTTTAATTGATCAAATAAACGTAGCAAAACACTCATCAATAATTAACCACTCAACATTATCCGAGTTGTATGATTCGTGTGAACATTAGAGTAGGAAAAGCATTCAAGCTCATGCT